CACTGGAGGGAAGATGAAGGCCCTGGAAGTTTTCTGAAATTAAAAGGATAATAATGAGGTTAAACCCCGTGTTTGGGATTTGCAGACTAACGCCTCCCAAAGCCTGTCATTGACACAAACGTTTGTGTGGTTGAAAATCTCCTTTTTGGTTCCATTTGAACGTTCCCCTCTCGGCTTTGGGGCTGGGGCAGGGCAGCCACACCGAGCTCCTCTCACCAGAGGAGCCCAAAAATCCCAGTTTGAACTGGGATGGAGCCACTGCTGTGTCCCCATTAGAGCCGGGTTTGAATCTGAGCTGGGCTCAGGGACCAAGGCTTGAGAGGAGAAACTTCCTGGAGCTCAGAGCACAAAAACACCAAAAATCCCCCAAAATCCCCCAAATCCCCCAAAATCGCTGTGCAAGGGACAAATTTAAACATTTCCACAGATCCTGCTCTGAGCATCTCTGCAATCTCTGCTCACGGGAAGCTCCCACTCAGGCCTGGGACTTGCAGGCTGAGCTCAAATGTTTCTGTAAATCAGGGATGAGCTGAGCCTGGAGAGTTCAGGCAGATTTGCCATTAATTATTGATTATTAATTATTGGCCAGAGCTGGGATTTACCTCCCCAATTCTGAATTTTGCATCAGCACTGGCTGAATAAACCTGAATAAATCCGAATAAATCCCACCCTGCTCTGCCCCAGGGCCACCAAAGGGGACAGAGCCTCAAGTGCCACCGTCCTGTCCTGTCCTTTTGGGGTGTCCCCCTGTCCTGTCCTGTCCTTTTGGGGTGTCCCCCTGTCCTGTTCTGTCTTTTTGGGGTGTCCCCCTGTCCTCGGGGGTTTTATTGCAGAGTCTGAGAGCCCCCGGGCTCTGCTGCCTCATCCACAGGAGTTTTCCCATTGGATCCATCCCAGTGTCACACGTGGCTGCCTGCAAGTCACCACTGCAGTTTAAAATGGGGGAAAAAAAAAAAAATAAATAAAAATAGGAAGGCAGCTCCAAACTGCTGCTCCACACCCATTTCCCTGGGTGGGATTCCAGGTTTTCCTCCAGAGCAGAAATCCAGGCACCAGGGAAGCAGAGTCAAATTTATTTATTTTTTATTTTGATTTATTTTTATTTTCTGACTCCTGAGCCTGCAGAGCAGCGATTTTTTTGGGAAACCTCCTTGCTCTCTTCTGCAATTTTTGTTTGGTTTTTTTTTTGGCGCTGCTGCTGTGTTTTCCCAGCTGAGGGCTGTCCCTGAAATTTTTTTTTTAGCAATCTTTACAAGGAACTTTCAGCCCTGGCTCCAAGGCCAGGGGCAGGAGGGTGGCTGCTCGTTTGCTGCCTGCTTTAATTAACAAAGGCAGCAAATCCAGGCTTTGCTCTCTCCTCATGTTCTCAGCAAAGTGCATTTATGGCACATTTATGGGGAATCAGCACCTCTGGGGTGGTTCAAGGTGATCCCTGAGGGAAATGTGAGCTCTAATTCCTCATTCCCGGTGATAAAAACACCAATTGCTGCCATTTCCCGCTGACATTTCATTCAGGAGAGAACAAAGCCAGCGGTTCCAGATGTGCTCTCAGTGACACTGGCCCTGATGGAGCCACAGCTTGGCAAGGGGGATCCCAACATTCCCCAAATTCCACAAATTCCCCCAGCTCCTCCCAGGGCTCCCAGACCGAATGAAACCAACCCCCCACTGCAGCCTGATAAAATAAATCTGATTTACAGGACTCCAATTACCACAGTCATTAACGGTTTGTTAATGAGTCAATTAAGACTCTTTGCAGAAAGGACATTTCCAATATGATGGCATCGAATGCTGCACAAATAAAAATCTGAGAGTGCCAGGGGCTGCTCTGGGCTGCAGGTGGGAGCAGCTCCAGCATCACCGGCGTCCTTCCCTGCCACGATGGGCTGGAATTCTGCTGGGATGGGATGGAATGTTACTGGGATGGGCTGGGATGTCACTGGGATGGGCTGGGATGTCACTGGGATACCCAGGAATGTTACTGGGATCGTCAGGAATGTTACTGGGATGGCAGGAATGTCACTGGGATACCCAGGAAGCAGCAGGCTGGAGATGGGGAGCTGAGGTTTGACACCCAACATTCATTTTAGCAGCAGCCAGGCCCCACGGGCTGGATTTTGGGGTTTTTTGGAGATTTTCCTGCAGCCCACGTGCAGAGGAACATTCCTTGGAGACACCTCTGCACATCCCCATTTCTGCTCCTCACACCTGGAGCTCGGGCAGAGCCGTTTGCCAGGCGAGCCCAGGAAATGTTGTGTTTTTAGGGGGGGAATTTGATGCAATGTTGGTTTTTTTGGGGAATTTGGGGCTCAGCCTTGAGGGAGGGCTGTTCGTGCAGCTCCTGTTTCATTCAGGGAGCTCCAGCACGAGGAGCAAACTCTGCTGGCACACTCGGAGGCTGCAGCTGCGAGGGGAAGTTGGCTGGAGTGAATCGTCCCAGGGTAAGAGCAGAGGGAGCAGGGCTTTAATCACTTATTTGGGTTAATTCTGCTCTTTGTCACGAGGAACTCAGGCCTCTCATCTCAGGCTCGTGTTAAACTGGATTAGTTTTACTGACAGTGCTGGAGCTTGCAGATTGACACCAGCACATCTTGTTATATAATGCAGCACAGATAAAAATACAGCAGGGTAAAATATCAGCTGGGAGAGGAAATAACTGGAGCAGCCACACTTTTAATGCATCCTGAAAATCAGAGGGGACAAACCCCAGTGCTGGAATTTTCGCTGGGATTCAAAGCCCAGGGTATCAAAGCACTGCACAAATCACGATTGATTTCAACCTTGTCACAGCCAGAACCGTCCTGGGGCAGGGCACGAACCCGGGTAGAGCAGGAAATATTAAAATTAAAGTGCAGAGAGGAGGAAGAACCTGCACTCTGCATCTCCTGGGTTCTGTGCATTTCCTTTGGAAAAGGTTCCGTGCTGTCCCCACCCCCTGAGGGAGCTGCTGGCACCGTCCCCATCGTCCCTGTGCCATCCTCTGCCTGGCCCAGAGCTGCATGGGGGGAATTTGGATGCCAGGGGACTTAACCTGACCTGTGTGACAGCACCACCCTCACCTTAGTCCAACATTTTCTGAATTACAGCCATTCTTCACTTTTCCCCTTCAAAAATCCCTTTTTCCCCCTTCAGCAGTCCTGCTCTGTCCTCTCCCCTGTTTTATTCTGTATTTATGATGTGATTTCTCTCCCTCCAAGCCGATTTTTCACCCTTTTCCCCCCAGCCCTGCATCCCCAGGGACACATTTTGCTGTCCCTGGTGTCAGCCCAAATGAAATTGGAATAAAAGCAGCCAGGCTGCAGTGGAACAGCAGATGGGCAGTGCCTGGGCAGATTTGGGAGATAATAATAATAATAATTGTAAACATCTCCAATGCTAATGCTGATCATCTCCTCAGCCAGCTCAGGCTGTTCTGCCTGGGACAGCCCAGCACCCACATGTGGAAAATGAGGTTTAATTTATTGGGGTAAAATGTAAAAGTTTGATAAAGGATAATAGGAAACAAAGATAATAAAGTCAGGTTTAACAGCTGCGTGTTTGGTATTTAGTTAAGAGCATTTTTGTTATTATGAAGAAACTTCTTTACATACTTTTAAATTTAAATTTATGGATATTTATGTTTCTAATCCAATCCTAAGAAATTTTGTCTAATTACAGTGTGACCTTTCCCAGCCAATCCTGTTCTAACACAGATTTTTTCTGTTTTGTCACCTTCATACCTACTTTATTCTTTCTAGATCTTAAACTTTATAACTAAACTTTTTAAACTTAATGTATATCTGCTTTAAGCTTTAAATCTCCATTCTTGTTTTTAGCACCTAAGCTTGGGAGTTTTCCCCAAGGCTTCAGTTCAAATCCTGTGTTCAATACTCTGAATTCAAATCCTGTGTTCAGTTTTCTCAATTCAAATTCTATGTTCAATTTTCTCTATTCAAATCCTGTTTTCAGTTTTTCCAGTTCAAATTCTGTGTTCAATTCTCTGAATCCAAACCCTGTGTTCTTTTCCAGGCTTTAATTTCCAGCCCCAATATTTTGAGAATTTTCTGCATCCTGAACTCCAGCTTGGCCCCACCTGCAGCCCCCTCTGCCCTCTCCCTTTTTAGGCACAAACTTGCAATGAGGGGACCCCAAATTTTGTCCCTGTGCCCTGGGATATTTCCCCATTGCCTGTTTCAATAATACAGAAATGGAATTGTTGTGGAAGCATCTCCAAAGCGAGGTGACATTGTCACTGCTGCTGCTTCCATGGCAACCTGCGTTTGTTTCTGGGAGCTGTTCCACAATAATTCATAAAAACCTCCCCTGCACGTGGGCCCTGCTGCCACAGCTTCCCCCAGGACACGTGGAGACACCGAAAAAAAGGAAAAAAAAACCAAAAAAAACACCAAAACTTTTTCAGGTTGGGATTATCCTGGTTCTCTCCCCCTGCTGATCCCTCATACATTGTCAATAAAAAGGAAAAAAAAAAGAGTATAAAGAAGAGAGGAGTATTCTAAAAATAGAATTCTAATTTCTTACCGTTTTTTTCTTTTAATTCTATTAACAAAGTTTTCTTTCCACCCTTTAAAGTTTAAGCCTGCTTTGCTCTCCTCTTAATCCTTACAAAGAAAAAAATTCTATTAAATTAAATTAATTAATTACATTAAATTAACACATTAGCCAAAAAAAATCTCACATTGGCAAACCCAAACCACTACAATCCTGCCAGAGTCACCTGAGCCCCTTTTCCCAATCCCAAACCCCTGATCCCAACGTCCCAGGCAGAATTTTGGGGTGACCCCAACCAGCCCAGGCAGTTTTTGGGGTTTTCTCCTCCTTCCAGCACAGCATCCCCTGCTCCCCTTGGCTGAAATTCCTAAAATTCCTGCTGGGATTTCTCCTGCTGAATTAAAAAAAACAAACCCTGAGCTGTTTCAGAGCAGCCACTCCTACCTTTGGGATTTTAAAATTCTTTTCCATTTCTTGGGGCTCTCAGCACGGTCCTTTCATCCTAATAATAAAAATAATAGGATAATTATTAGGGTAATAATATTCGGGTGGGCTCTGAGGAGGAGCAGCTCCCTCCTCTCCCATTCCAGAAAATTTCCTTTGCCTGCCCGGAGCCCTCCTGGCCCTGGGCTTTTTGCAGGAGCCCTGATGCTCTGGGGGCATTTTGGATTTTAGGAGCACAATTTGTGGCAGGGAATGGCTGAGCCTGGAGTTTGGCAATTCCCAATCTCCACAATTCCAGCTCAGCAGCAGCTCCTGCCCCTCCTGAAAGTGCAATGGGACCCAAACACCTTCCCCTGGCAATGGGATTCATTTATTCCTCCCCTAAATGACAATTAATTAATTCGGGATTCATAAAGCCTTAATTATTAAAGGCTGCAAACGCTCCCTGATGATTGTTTGCTGCAGATAATGTTGGGCTGGGGGAGGTCAGCCTGCCTGGGAAACCTGGCTGGGCACAATTAATGAATTAATGAATTAATTAATCAATTAATGAATGAATTAATGAATGAATTAATGATTTCCCTTCTCCTCGGGATCCTCCTGAGCCGGGAGGAGGAGCAGCTCAAAGAGCTCGGGGGGTTTAATGCAGAGGGAGAATCCCAGCAGGGATTTCAGGAATTCCAGGAATTTCAAGGATTCCAGGAATTTCAGGAATTCCAGCCCTTCCTGGGCTCCTGGGTGTGCCCCAAAGGAGCCCCAGCCCGGGGGAAACTCACCCCAAAATTCTGCCTGGGGGTGTCACCCTAAAACTCTCCCTGGCTTGGGGGGATCATCCCAAAATTCTCCCTGGATTGGGGGAGTCACCCTAAAATTCTGCTTCCTCAGTGGGGTCAGGGCACTGAAACACAGAGAGCCCCAAGGGGAGAATCAATAATTCTGCTTTCTGTGACTGGGAAATGTCAATGCTGGAAAAAAACCAGGAGGAAATGTTTGATATCATATCAGAAATCAATGCTAGATCAGGAGATACCTGAGCATTTGATTGAAAATTGGTGTAATTTAAATTTTTTTGTTCTTATTTCTGAAGTTTGGCTGCTGTGGGCAAAACCCTGAGCACAAATCCAAGAATTTCTGAGCTCTTGGGGCTCCCCAGATAAATTTCCTCTTCCTCCACAAAACAACAAGGTTTGAAGTTTACACTCAAATGTTATATTGAGGGAAAAATGAATTTTTTCCAGCCCGTGGGGTGGGGAAAGTTCAGGGTTTGATCTCCAGGCTCACCCAGGGAATCCTGAGCCCTCTCGTGGCTGCTGGGGACAGGACACCGAGGAATTTTCCTTGGATTTTCTATCAACACCCATTTGGTGTTATGGGAAGGTTTTCACTTGGCATCCCCCAAACCCTCCCAAACTCTGACCCACTGCAGAAGGTACCAGTGCAAAAACCCCTTTTTATAAACACACATTTTTATGGGTACAAACCCCCCTTTTTGTGGGTACAAACCCCCCTTTTAGTGGATATAAATACACATTTTTGTGGGTATAAACACCCCTTTTTCTGGGTATAAGCACCCCTTTTTGTGGGTATAGAAGATATTTTTTTGTGGGTACAAACCCCCTTCTTGTGGGTAGAAACCCCTCTTTTTAGGGGTATAAACTCCCCTTTCTGTGGGTCCAAACCCCCCTTTTAGTGGGTATAAATACACATTTTTGTGGGTATAACTCCCCCTTTCTGTGGGTATAAACCCTCCTTTTTTAGGGCATAAACACTTTTTTTTTTGTGGGTACAAATACACATTTTTTTTAACTTTGTTCAATTTGTGACTTCCATTGAAAACCCCTTAACCAAAAACCCCTTTGGCAGCTGGGCTGGAAACCATCGAGACAGAAGGGGAGATAAAAGTGTAAAATCAGAATCAAATCAAAAATCCAAATAAAAGAAACCCCCAGAACTGCAGCTTTTATTAAGCAGCTTTCCAGTGTCTCGTGTACAGAAGATTTCACAGCTCCTCCTTCCCTGTCCTGGGGGGATCTGGGGCTCCCAGAGCAGAACCTGTGGCTACAGAACAACTCTGAGCTTTTCTCTGCCCCAAAACAAACCTGGAACACCCAAATTCCCAGGAGCAGCTCACAGCAGGCTCTGGAATGAGCTTGGATACAGAAACTGGATGACAGTGAAAAGAGAGGGGGAAAAAAAAATACTTTAAACCATCAAGTTTCCTCTTGAAATGTCTTTTTTTTTTTTTTTTTTTTTTTTTTTTTTTCCCAAGGCACTGTGAACAAGACTGTTTAGCAATTCTCAATGACTAAAAAACACCAATGGGGATATAAATATAAATATTTCACACAACAACCACCAGCACATCATCAGCTATTCTTTATTCCTTCCCTTAAACAACGCCCCTGGAATTTGTTTGGTCCTTTGAGGGGGGGAAAAAAAAAAATCAAATTATCTTCTGCAACATCCACGTGTTTGTATTTAATACATTTATAAATCAAAGCTTTGTTGGATTGTTTTACCCCTTTCACTGGGAAAACTGAAGGGTTTTCCTCACTGGGTGAATCTGCAAATCCAATTTGAACATTAAATAAAAAACTGAGGAGAAAGGGTTCAAAACCAAGCAAAGCCCTGTAGTTTTTTTTTTTTTTTTTTGGTTTTTCAAGAGGAAACCATGCAAGAATACATAAAAAGGCAAAATTGGCTACTTGAAAACCAAGAATTGTTTTTTAATGCGTTGGCCAAGGAAAACAAATCTCAAAGTTCTGTGAGGTTTTCTAAAAATTTACAAGAAAAAAAAAAACAAAAAAACCCAAAAAACCAAAAAACCAAAACCGGATGGGCAGTTCTAGTTCAATGCTCTTTTCTCCTGCTGGAAATGACAACAAACACAGTTCCCACACGAAATAATTTTTCATCTTGACTGCAAGAGAGCCCTGGGGGCCCAGAGAACCTTGGCATTGGTTTCATTTTTTCAGGGGTTGGTAGACAGAGGCGTTGGGGTCGAGTCCAGAGGGGTTGGGCTCCACGAATTTGGAGGAATAATGTGGGGACACGGGGCTCAGGGTGCTGGTGGCTGCCGTGTAGCTGATGCTGGGCATCACTGCCATCACCTCTGCAATCTTCTGCTTCAGCTCCTTGATCTCCTGATCCTTCTGCAGGATCTGCCCTGCAAAGACACCAAAGCACAGCACTCACAGCCTGCACCTCCTGATGGTCCCTTCTGCAGCCTGAGAATGCTGAAATCATCTCCTGAGAATGCTGAAATCATCCCCTGAGAATGCTGAAATCATCCCCTGATATTCCCTAATTCATCCCCTGAAAATCCTGAAATAATCTCCTGAGAATGCTGAAATCAGCACCTGAAAATGCTGAAATCATCCCCTGATATTCCTGAAATCATCCCCTGATATTCCTGAAATCATCTCCTGAGAATGCTGAAATGGGCACCTGAAAATCCTGAAATTATAACCTGAAAATGCTGAAATCATCTCCTGGTATTGATGAAATCATCCCCTGAAAATCCTGAAATCCTCCTCTGATATTCCTGAGTCAGCCCTGAAATCACCATGTGGAACTCCTGGAATCATCTCCTGATATCCTGGAATCATCTCCTCATTTCTGGTCAATTACCTGTTTTGAATTATCTGTTTTGAATTATCTGCTTTTAATTATCTGGAATTCTCACAGACCCAAACTCGACACCCCCATCAGAATTTTGCATTTTTTGCATTCACAGCTGCACCACCCCCTGAGATTATTTCTATTTAATCTCATTTTTTCTGCCTTTTTCCATTCCCCTTCTCCAAACTCTTCACAAAAGCCCAAGTATTTGGCCATGTTAAAATAAATAATAATAATAATATATATAATTAATAAATATAAGCAATAAAATTAAATTTGGCCAGGTTAAAACCTGTTAATTTTCCAAACTCTCCCATTCCCAGCATTTCTCTCTGAGCTTTCACCACCCACAGCAATTCCTGAAACCAGGTGACCAAAAAATTCCATTGCTGAAACAAAACAAAACAATTTCTCCCTCCAATTAAATATTCCTGCAATCAAACAACCTCCTGCAGGGAAATTAATCTGGTCTTTAATGAAATTAAACTGGTGCTAAATGCAAAGTTCATGAATTTGGCTCAATTTTGGTTTGCACAAAGCCTGGCCTGGGTTTTATCTTGGATTTCTGCTCCCTCTGGTGGCATCACAGGTTGGATTTTCCCCAAATTTAGGTTTTATTTACTTGAGGAGTAAATAGCAATAATTAAATAAATATTTTCGTAATAAATCATTTAAAATAAATAAATGAATTTTGTTGTAATAATTTTAAATATAATAATAAATAATTATTTTATAATCATAAAATATTATTATTAGGATGAAAGGACAGCAGCTTAATAACAACCTTAATTTAATTAATTTATCTCTTTTAAAGAGAGACTTCTTTCAGAGCTTTACAAGATCTTTGTGATGATTTACAAAATGCAAAAAACAACCACAAATTAATTTTAACACCTATTTGAACTATTATTATAACTATTATTTATTGAAATAATACCAATTATAGCCATTATTTATTGATACACCGATTTTAATGCCCATCACCATTTTTGGGCTGCCAGGCTGAGCTCAGATGGTTCAAACTCCACATTCCCAAAAATCCCAGGATTTGCCCAAATCCCTGTGAGAGCTGAGTGGGGGAGCCCAAAATCCCAGGAAATGCCCAATTTTCCTGGAATAGAATCCCCAGATCCCAGGAATTTGCCCCAGTCTGTGTGAAATGGAGCCCTAAAATCCCAGGATTTTTCCCAATTTTTGTGGAATAGAATCCCCAAATCCCACGATTTGCCCAATTTTTGTGGAATGGAGCCCCCAAACCCCAGGATTTTGCCCAATCTGTGTGAATTTGAGCCCCCAAATCCCAAGATTTTGCCCAATTTTTGTGGAATGAAGCCCCCAATTCCCAGAATTTTGCCCAATTTTTGTGGAACAGAACCCCCAAACCCCAGGATTTTGCCCAATCTGTGTAAATTTGAGCCCCCAAACCCCAGGATTTTGCCCAATTTTTGTGGAACAGAACCCCCAAACCCCAGGATTTTGCCCAGCCTGTGTGCAATGGAATTCCCAGGTACCTTGGGCAATCTCCAGCTGCCTCTTGGCATCTCCCAGGGCAGAGAACAGGTCCAGCTTGATCCTGGTCTCTGCACTCAGGCTGTTCTCCAGGTGCTGGGTCTTGTCCTGCATGGCTGACAGTGCAGACATCAACACCTCCGTGTCCTTCTCGTTCTCCTTGTACTTCCTCAGCTCCTGCAGGGACAATGGGAATGGGAAAAATGTGAGCCTGGGAATAAAAAATGTCATCTGAGGGGCAAAAATGTTATCCTAAGGGAGGAAAATGTCAACTTAGGGACCAAAAAATGTCATCTGGGGGAGAAAAATGTTGTCCTGGGGGGTTAAAATGCCATCCTAGGGAAAAAATGTCATTTGGGGGTAAAAATGTCATCTGAGGGGCAAAAAAATGCCAGCCTGGAGGTAAAAAGTGTCAGCTTGGGTGGGGGAAATGTCAGTCTGGGGATAAAAGTGTCATCCCAGGGGTGAAAAAATGTCAGCCTGGGACACAAAAATGTCAGTCTGGGGGGGGGGAAATATTATCTGGGGGTAAAAATGTCAGCCTGAAGGTAAAAAGTGTCAGCGTGGGAGGGAAAAATTGGAGCCTAGGAGGGAGAATTCGAACCTGGGCAGAGCAGGAACCTGCACTCCCCAGCCTTGTCCCCATGCAGCTGCAGGGATTGGGGGTTTGGGATTGCAGCTGCAGGGATTTGGGGATTTGGGATTGCAGCTGCAGGGATTTGGGGTTTGCAGCTGCAGGGATTTGGGGTTTGGGAGCTGCCCCGAGCCCCAGGTGCTGTGGCTGCACCTGAACTTTCATGTCCAGCTCCCGGATCTGCTCCTCCTTCACTTTGATGTCCAGGCTCAGTTTCTTGCACTCGGTCTCGAGCTCGCGGATGCGGCCGCGCAGGGTCTCGGTGCACTCCCCCCTGCAGGGAACAACCCCGTCAGCAGGAGACACACAGGGCAGGGAACCCCAAAATCCCGGGGGATCCCTGTCAGGGATGAGGGGGAACCCCAAAATCCCGGGGGATCCCTGTCAGGGATGAGGGGGAACCCCAAAATCCCGGGAGATCCCTGTCAGGGATGAGGGGAGAACCCAAAATCCCGGGAAATGCACAATTCCCTGTGAGAGATGACTGGAATGGAGCTCCAAATTCCCAGGATTTATCCAATTCCCTGTGAGAGATGAGTGAGGGAACCCCAAATCCCAGGAATTGCACAATTCCCTGTGAGAGATGAGTGGGGAACCCAAAATCCCAGGATTCGCCCAATTCCCTGTCAGAGCTGAGTGGGAGAGTCCCCAAATCCCAGGATTTTGTCCCAATCTGTGTGGAATGGAGCCCCCAAATCCCAGGATTTTGCCCAGATGTACAGAAGGTTCTATAAAAAATGAAAGCAAGTTTTGATATAAAGGAATTGCTGGGCCGGCAATTTTAAATAAAAGTTTTTTAAAATAAAAGGGTTTTTTTAAATAAAAGGTTTTTTAAAATAAAACACTTTTTAAAAATAAAAGCCATTTCAAACCAAAGGCCCAGCACAGGCCCCCCAGGGCACAGCACCTCGTTGCAGCAGCAAAGGCCACAGCTCTTGCTGCAGTTGCTTCTTCCAACTTCTTCCTCTTCTTCTCCTCCATTAATTGTTTCTCTACAAAGGTCCGTGCCTCCTGCTCTGCCTTGAGCTTCTTCTCCAGCTGGCTGATGGTTTGTTTGTCCTTTTGTTTCATCTGTACAGTGTTGTGCAACCTGCAGGGACAGGGCAGGGCTCAGCTCAGGGTTCTGCTCCCAACCCAAACCAGGCTTTGATCTGAGATGGACACGTTTTTATACCCTTTTCATTATATAACCATATATCAATTATTAAACCCATATTATTCTACTGCATACACTATTCTATTGTATACACATTGTTCTATTGTATTGTATACATTGATTAGGCCCCCCAAATATCTGATTAGACCCCCCAAATATCCTCTCATGATTCTTGTTATGATTCCATCATTTCTCATGATTCTTGTTATGATTCCATCATTTCTCATGATTCTTGTTATGATTCCATTGTTTCTCATGATTCTTGTTATGATTCCATTGCTTTTCATGATTCTTGCTGTGATTCCATCATTTCTCACCGTTCTTATTACAATTTAAACAATAACCACATTCAATCACCAAACGACCCTGACATTCACCAATCCTTTATCCCGCTATGATTTACACAGGGGTGACAAAGCTCAGTGTTTGTTCCCAGCCTGGTTCCCTCTCCCAGGCCCAGCCCTGGCAGTGCTGTGTGTGTGCAGCTGCCCTGGTTGCAGCACCTACTTGCTCTGCAGCAGTTCGTTCTCCTGGCGCAGCTGCCCCATCTCGGCGCGGGTGCCGCGCTCGGCCGAGCTCAGCGAGCTCACCTGGCTGCGCAGCTCCTGCTCCACCTGCCTGCTGGCCTGCAGGTCGGCCTTTAGCTTCTTGATGTCCTGTTCCAACCTGCCAAAAGAATTCCAAAAGGATTTTTCAGCTTCCTTGCACCCCCACCCCCACCCCTGCAATGACTTAGGTTGTAACACAGGATGTGACCAAAGGTGTGGGTTCTACCAGCAGCTGTTAAAAAGGCAGGGATCCCTTATCTCCAGAGGGGACATCTGCTGTTAATGGGCTGTGTGTTAAACCTGGGGCAGAGTTCTTTATCTTCTCCACAGCCCATCCCTCCTCCAGGACATCCCTTCTGTTAATGGGTCATGTTAAAAACCCGGTGGGACAATGTTCCCTCTGTGGGAGAGATCTCCTGTTCATGGGCCAGCTGTTAAAAACCAGCTGGGGTTTTTATCTTTATCTTGCCCACAGCCCATCCTCCCTCCAGGAGATCTCTCCTGTCCATGGCCATGCAGTCCCAGGGCAGGGCTGATCAAATTCCATCATCCCATTGGGAGATGCTCCAGCCAGGGCAGGAGCCGAGCATTTCCTACCCAGATCAAAGGGGAGATTTGGAACAGCAGAGCAGCCTTTTCCCACTGCATCCCAGAGGAAAACCAGAGCCTTGCACATCATCCCTGCAGCTTTGGAGGAAAACTGCACCTTGTGCAGGAGCCCTGCTCCAGCAGAACCACATCTGTCACTGCAGGAGGATGCAGCCACCATGGAATGGGACTGCACCAACCCTGACTGACTGATGGGGTGTCAGGTTGGATTCTCCCTCTGCCCCTGCTCTGGGTTTGTTCTCTGCAATACTGCATTGCTATTGGAATTGTCCTGGCAAAGAACTGTTATTCCTATTCCCATTTCTTTGCCTGAGAGCTCCTTAATTTCAAAATGATCATAATTTGGAGGGAGGATGTTTGCATTGCCATTTCCAAGAGAGGCTCCTGCCTTTCTTAGCAGACACCTGTCCTTCAAACCAAGACATCCCTCAAGCCCCAAGGTTCAGGTGTGCTCTATAAAAATGCAGAATAAAGCTCACACCAAACCCTCAAAGCTTCAGCTTCCCAACCAATGGACTCTCAAAATTCTCTGATTGTGTCCTTGCTAAATAATCAGATTTTATATAAAATTTTATAGAAAATCAAAATTTTAAACAAATATTTTCTATAAAATACAAATTTTAAATCAAAATTTTATATATGGTTGTTAAAAATTAAATCAAAATTTGATATAATTTTTTTTAATGAAATCAAAATTCTATATAAAATTTTATATAACTCCATGTAGAGCCACACACGCCTCAGAGCCTCCCTGCAGGAATTCCATTTTCTCTCAAATCCGAGAAGTTCTAAACCAGGACACAGCCACACATGAACAGATTTCATTCTGTCCACAAATGCTGGGTTTGGTTTGCTCCCAGAGCTGGATTGTCACCTCAATGTGTCGCTGTTTTCTTGCAGCACATGATGTGTTCAGTCATGCCCAGCTCAGGAGTCAGTAAATTTAGTTTTAATTGCTCTTGAACAGAGACCATCTGCTCTACACTCGAAATTGTAGCTTTGGAAAGTTCTTGAAGATTCATGTAATCTTATTAATTAAAATATTGTTAAATAAAACACACGTTTTGCAATGGAGGCACTCGGCTCACTTTGATTTTTTTCCCCCCACAAATAAGATTATTGATTCTTAGAATAAAAACCCATCACAGGTGAATAATCAACCTTTTTAAACACTTATTTAAAAAAATACACCCCAGCCATTCTCCCACAATCCTGCTTTGCTGTGCCAGCTATTGACTGGAGAGTTTTGAAATGGCCACAAGGAAGATGAAAATGGTTTTATTTCCTTGGTTCCATTCGGAATTAGTGGCAGTGGGGCCTTAAGATGAGGAGAACAATCACAAAAAAAGGCAAAAAGAGCTGCCCTCGGTGACACTCAGCACTGCAGCTTTTTGATTTAAGGAAACATTTTTGGGCTTCAGTGCAGGGAAATCTCAGGTAAAAAGCACTGAGAGATGAGCAGGGAGAAGATCCAATAAATGCAGGGGGAAGTGGGGAGTCACCAAAGCTGTGGGAACACAGAAATGGGTTTGGAACAGTTTGTAATTGTTTTTAACAAGAACCCAGATTTGGGAGAGGCTGAATGAAGAGGCAGGAGGAGCCTGGCTGGGCTGGGACACCCCAGACAAATCCAAGCCCAGCAGCTCTGTGGAAGATCCCCCCTGGGAAAAATCAATTCCTTCAGTGCCTAGAAATGACCAAAAGCACCCTTAAACAGAAAAAAAAAAATAAAAAATCAACTCACAGGCAAAGAGCAACAGCACAAAGCAAATCCTCACCTCAAAGGAAGTGCCCAAATCCCTTCAACGCTGCTGCTCTGCTGAGGGAAAGGATTTGCAACCTCAGCCCCACAATGGGAACAGCAGCAGCTGCTTTCAGGTGAGTGGGGCCACCCTGAGCTGTGTTAAATCATGGACAGGGCAGTTGTGGGGCACAGAAATCAGAGTTTCATCTCATCTGCCAAAAAAGCTGCAGCCCTGGAGCAAAGTTTTCATTAAAGACAGTGAGAGGCTGTAGGAGCCCCCACCAGGCTGGGGTGTGCCAACAGCTGACTGGTTTTAATCCAGGTTTTCATAAATAGGTGGAAAAATGCTGTTTCAATAGAGGAACACACCTTAATCCCATTTTACCCAGAAATAATTTCAATATCCATGGCTACACTGAAGAGATAACTGAAGATAAAATAGCTTTTACCTATAGCTCAGACCATGCCAAACTAAGACACCCCAGGATTTATTTTGGGTATTGAGTATTGCAGAAAAAGAAGCCTTGAGCAGATAAAACCTGAAGAGCTCAGAGGTGCTGCCACAGGAAAGGCTGAATTTGTATTTTTGGCACAGGAGAAGTGCCCTGAGTTCAGAGCTCTGGAGCCATTCCTGCACCTGAGAGTTCCCAGGGCTGCTCCAGCAAAAAACCTGCAGAGATGAGGCCACAGGCACAGCTTTTCCTTCTAAATACACTGAATTTCTGGGTCAGGGAGGGTGGAACAGCCACAATACATCACTTGTAAAAAATTAACACAAATTCCTCTTTCCACTCAATGCCACACAAAACCACTGGAAATTGCTTTCTCCACTTGTTTGGAATGAGGTCCCACAGTGAGATTTTAGCAGGTTTTAATTATCCCTTTTCATTACATTGAAGGTTTTGCTGCAGCTTTAAACACCAGAGCAGGGAATATCTGTTTTCTGCCAATTACAGAGCAAATGCAGGCTCCTGTCTCCCTAAAACCAGGAAAATCATAATGTGACTTTATAATAATCATAATAATGGATAATCCATCACCATGCAGAGGATTCCTCTGCCAGACCTGCCCCAATTAGGCACAGACACAACTTCATTAAGGAGAAAACAAGAAGAGAGTTCAGCACTGTCACAGGGGTCACAGCTCCCACAAGGACATTCACACCACTCCAAAAGAAAAAGCCCAGCAAGGTAAAACAACACCAAAAAAAAAAAAAAAATTTAAAAATCCCTGCTGCACTGCTGGACATTGATAAATGACCCAAACCAACATTTTTCACTTTATTGCTATTCTTACTCTGATTCCATTTGCTGTTTAAGTCTCTCATTTCCAGGAGGAAATGATTTAGAGAGGAGGGGGAGCAAAGAAAAAAAGCTGAGTTCTGGAAGATGTTCCTCCCTGCTCTGCACACAGAACTGCTCTGGAAATGAGGTTTTAGCTGCAGATTCTGCTGGGCTGTTTATACAAGGGAGGTCAATCCCTCCATTCTGGCATTCCCAACTGCAGATTTCCCCATTTCCTGTGCTGGGCAGCACCTCCCCTCATTCCTGGTGAGGAGAATTCATCAGGATCACCTCGCAGAGGGAGGTTTTTCCCCAAATTGATGGATTGTTAAAGGTGGCTCCATTCGGATTTTATGTTCCCCAGTATTGATGCCTGGCTGCTCAGTTTGCTCCATCCCATAATCACCCGGTGACTGCACTCGAATGAAACACAGTTTATATAAAAATGATTATTTTAAAGTGCCCACCAGGCCCTGAGATGCTCTCCAAAAGCCCCAGTTCTGCCACAGAGCCTGGATGCTCCTTTCCCTGCTGAGGAGCAGCTCTCATTCCCAAAAAAAACCCAGGAATTCACAGAAATTCTCCTTTTCCTGCTGGAATTAACAGGATCTGAGGAGCAGATCTAATTCCCAAAAAAATCCAGGAATTCACAGAAATCTTCCTTTCCCTGCTGGAATTAACAGGATCTGAGGAGCAGCTCTCAATCCCAAGAAAATTCAGGAATGCACAGAAATCCTCCTTTCCCTGCTGAACTGCTCTTAGGAGCAGCTCTCATTCCCCAAAAAAATTCAGGAATTCACAGAAATTCTCCTTTCCCTGCTGGAATTAAGAGGCTCTCCCTGGGAGCAGCTCTCATTCCCCAAAAAATTCAGGAATTCACAGAAATTCTCCTTTCCCTGCTGCAGGCTGCTCCCATTCCCAAAGGCTGCTCTGTTTCTGAGCACCCTCCTGCCCTGGGAAGGGTCTGGCAGCAGGAATTGCCTCCCACATCCCTCATTTATTCCCAACCTTCCTGATTTTGTTGCCTTCCCAGGCAAAGCTTGGCCATCCCCTGGAATCCTGCAGCTGATTTAATGGCACTGCAGGCACTGGGGGTGAGCAAGAGGCACCTCCTGCCAAAAAACTTTACAATATTAGCACCAAACGGCCAGAAATTCACATTAAAAATTTCAGGTTGTGCCTCTGCAGGTCAGAGCATTTCAGGGAAGTGAAATAAGCTGGGGCAGAGCAGCTTTTGCTTCACCCAAAGATTTTCCCAGCCCAACTGTCACAAGATGTCCTCGTTATCTGTGGGAATAATTAGTAAATGAGACAGCTCGTTCATCACCTCGTGTGCCAAAGGCAGGAGCTCTGTGGGTACAGACAGCTCTGCCCTGCCAGCTTTCTGTGTGCTTTTAGTGCAGGGATTTTTAAGGGTGCTAAAAAGGCAAGGCCAGGCCATGGGTAATGTAATGGGCAATAAACAACAACAAAAAATAGAATTCTGCAGCAATTACAGCTTGGATTTGTTCCATATATTGAGGCTCTAAATCTGTTTCACTTCAGAAATGAGTGAAGTGGTAAAAAATGGATTTGCTCTGTGCCTCCTGACAAACAGTGAGTGCAAAGGGACACCAGGCTGGTCCCAGATGGAGCAATCAAGTTACCAGAGCTGGGAAAGAGGCACTGAGATCCCAGAGATCCCAGAGATCCAGGGCTGGACCAGCAGCTGCAGATTTCAGCACCCTCAGGAAATGTCTCAGAAAAGGCCAGAGGTTCCTCTGGGATCCCTCAGCTCTGGCCAGCAGGAACAGAACAATTCCCAGGGATGGGCATCAGGAAGTTCCTCCCTACAAAACCAAGCACTAAAAACCAAACCCTGACATTCCACCAGACAGAGCAAAAAAATAAAAACTTAGCTTCAAGTAAGAGCAGAGCTGTACATATAAAATAGATAAATAAACCTAAACTAGCAGGACCCTTCCAGATGGGTCAGGCCAAGTGTGTCAAAGGTAACAACCCTGTAAAACTCCTGAATAATCCCCAGCAGCAGAAGGAATATTTTCCATTTGCTCCTGGTTGCTCAGCTCAGGGCCACGCTCTGTGGACACAAAAGGAAAGCAGCTCGGGTCTGCCACCCTGCTGGACACTGAGGCAGGAAAAGCAGCTTTATTTGGAAGCTGAGCAGATGTGAGCTGAGTGTGAACAAATGCAGGACTTCACTCAGCCCTTTTCAGGCTCCAGTGCACGCTGGAAGTTTAATAACAGGAATGAGTAACGCTGCTGGAAGTGGAAAAGATGATGGAACAAATGCCTGGCACTCCAGGGATGGGATAATTGACAAGGCTAAAATAAAAAAAGCACCATTAATTTTTAAATTTAAGTGCATCCATTCCATCCAATTTGTCAGGTGAGTTTGTGCTCTCACTGGTGTGGGAGTTACAGAGCCAGGCCGAGCAGAAATGAGATTTCATCCAGGATTTCAGGGAGCAGGATGCTGGTTTGGTGCTCCTGGGCTGCCTGCACAGGGAGCAGAAACAGCTGCAGGGATTTTTAACTCAACTGCACCCCCACACACCCCAAAAGCAGAAGAAGAAGCTGTCCCCTCTCAGGGCACAGTAAGGCACTTTCAGAGTAGAGCTCTGCTCTCTGCCCTTCCCCAGAGACTTCCAGGAGCTGCAATTCCCTAAGGACAGGATCTGGTTTTATGGTGAACTCATTTCTGTCATCAAAACTCACCTTGGGCAAGCAGTGACCACCTGCCCTAAGCTCCCACCTAAAGATTTCAACGTGGAATTGAAACTTTAAACACATCAGGTTGAAATCCCAGTCCCTGTCACAGCCACTCAACTCTCAGGTCATTCCCAAAGGAATTCCCTTCCCTCTTCTCAAGACTTAGGAATGTTTGGAACTGCAGCAAACTGAGCTGAGCCTTCTGTGCCTCGGGGAGCAAACAAACCTTAAAAAGAGTTTTAAAAACTTTATAAAGAAGCTGAGAATGGGAACACCCTGGCCAGGGGCTGGAGCAGGATTTTATTCCATCAATCCTGGCATTCCCAGATCAGATTGATTGGCTGCTCTCTGATTTGCCTCACCAAGTTCTCTACAGGCATTAGGTAGCAATTAGTCTGGGTGTTTAATTGGCAAGGGTATGTCAATCAGGGGCAGAGGAGAAAATAATATTTCCATTGAAATAATTGTGTTCCCACAGCAGAAATCCTCAGAGACAAAAGCCCAATTATCAAAGGTACCTGCAGGGAAAACAAGCCTGATCTGCCAATTAACTTGGCCAACACTGACTTGGTGGAATAAGGAACAGGAGAGGCAGGAGCCAGGTGGAAAATGCTGGAGCAAGGCAGAAGTGAAATGGGTTTTGTTGCAGACATCTCTCCATGCATTCTCTCACTGCTGCTTTTCCTGGCACCACATGACAGCACCATCTGTGCCAGGGTGAGCCCCTGCACCTCCCAAATCCATCTCCCCCCAAAGTGCCAGGAGCAGGGGCACAGCTGGGGATTCTCCAGGCTGCCAGGTCCCCAGGGAATCCCTGAGAGCTGTGCCTGCAGCAGGGCAAAACCAAACCCAAACCAAACCAAACCAAAACCAAACCAAAACCAAAACCAAAACCAAACCAAAACCAAACCCAAACCAAACACCTGTTCAGGTACCAAGAAACCCCAGAGAGCTCCCTGGAGAGGCAGGGGTGGCTCCACAGAGGAGCTGCCAAGGACACATGAGCTGATTTTCTCCACGTTTTTCTTTCTACCAGAGTATTTGTGGTGCCTCACAACAGAGGTAGGGGAGCAGATCCTGAGCCAGAAATGAAACCATCTGCTCCAGGCTGCAGCTCCAACAAAAAGCAGGAACACAGCTCCACACATCTCCTGGAGATCTCACCCCAGCACCACCACACAGCTCTGTCTTTTTTACCATAAATGACATTTTCCCAATAAAAACCAAAGAAAAGCCCTGATGGAGCAAGGAGGATGAGACAAGGCTCAGGCCCCACTTACCTGAGCAGTGCATCTGGTTTGCTTAGCTGGTTATTAGGAATACAATTTTCCATTAAGTCCTTATGTGTGCTGGGGCTCTTGCTGGCACATTTCTGTTTTTTCTCATTTTTGGAGGATGAGGAGGGGATGCTCCCGTTGGTTGCACTGTGGCTGCGGGGTGAGGAGTTCACAACCCCGCTGACATTTTTGTAATTTTTGGACGAGGCAGTGCATGAGTCCTCTTTTAAGAGGTTTTCTGTACTTCCTACAAGATCATTATTTAATCTTTTACTATTGATATGGTTTTCCATATATTCAATTTCTTGTATTTTAGAGTCTACAGGTTGCAAAATGTTGTTGTTTATTCCAAGGTTGTGTTTCTTTGCATCCTTGTCCTTTTCTTTCCCTTTTTCTCGATATTCCAGCTCTGGCAACGTTGCAGAGATTTTTTTATTGGCTGGAATGCCTCCATTGTGCTGCAGGAGTATTGAGGAATCCATATCAGATAATCCTTTGGCTGCTGCAACACCAAAGTGAAAAAAAAACCAAAAAACAAAACCTCAATTTAGTTCATTAAATCCATCAATACCTTGCCACAGAAAGAAAAAAAAAATCATTATGGACACATGCATCAATCCTGCAGGAAACAATCAGCATTGGAGGCTCTCTACAAAAGAGAACCCAAAGTTTGATTTTAAGGCTTTTTGCCTCATTCCAGGCAGGAAAGTGGGATTTAATAATAAACACTCAAGCTTCACCCAGCACTGGGTGAGCAGAGGGGCCAGAATTCCATTTCCCTGTCCCATTAACCATTTCACTGCCACCCCCTGAGCTCAGCACACCAACCCTTTTCTCCTCAGCACGTCTGGGGTTGGTTTTTTTGTTGATTTTTTTTTTTTTTAAATTCTCAGAGAAGACACGAAGGGATAACTTGCCTTCCTCTGCCTCCCTCTCTTGCCTTTGCAGCATCTGCTGCTCTGGGGGCAGGGCCTGCTGCAGGAGCTGCATGTAGAACTCGTTCTCCTTCTGCACCTCCTTCTGCTTCCTCAAACGCATCTTGTAGCTGACGTAACTTTTAAAGCCAAAGCCCAAAGTCACAACGGGGTAGCCAATGCTAAAGAGGAGGAAAAAAAAAACCAACAAAAAAAGCCATGTTATTAATTAAATTATTGCTAATTAATGGAACAACTTCTATAGAAAATTATCTATAAAGTGGGTTTTGTTTTCAAGACATTTTTGGGATATTCACATTACGAATTCCTCGAACAACACAAATGTGGCACTGGGTCCTCGTGTCCACACATTTCTCATGGAATATTTCCTGGCAGAATTTGAAAAGGGAAAACTGAACAGCCAAGCCCTGAAGTTCAAATAAAAACCCTGATTGTTCATTTTGCTGTTGAAGAGGAAAAGGAAGCACTTACCAGTGTGCTGCAAATGGACGACAAAGGTCCACGTGGAAGTTTTTTAAATCTTTAAATCTAATGGCTGCTTCAATATAAACAAAGAGTATCCACAGTGATACTGTTGGTAAGCACACCCCTCTTTCTGTGGAGAGAAATGGAACAGAGGCACCTCAGGGACAGAGCACAGGCAGCAAGGATTTGAAAGTGATTTTTAAAATATTTCAGGAGTCTAAGGAAACAAGATTTCAACTAGGAAGATCGTAACTTGAAAAAAAAAAATAAAAAGGAGGGGAATAAAAAGCAAGTTCTCATCATGAAAATGAGTAATTCCTGAGGTTGCCATGAATTAAAATATTAAATCAGCTCAAACTGGCCCATCAGGTTCTTCCTTCCAAACATCAGCCCTGGACAGCTTCAGATGAGGCTTCCAGACATGGACAGAGCTCTGAAAAGGAGCCCAGAGCTGCAGGTTTGTGGAACTGGGCCCCAGGTGGCTCCCAGCAGCTGCCACTGTCACCAACAGCCACTAAACTGTGACAGAGCTGAGAGAGGGACGAGCCCCAGGGGCTCACACTGAATAAAAACAAAACCCCAATGCCCAGGGTCTGGGCACTGAAAAGTCACCTCTAAAATGAACACTGAATTGGATTTTATCCCTAAAAATGTTTGGGTTGAAGGGAAGGAGCTAAAACCTCATCCCAGCCCAGGGATTTCTGAGAACAAACCCAGAAGAGCAGAGGGAGGACAGGGACAGGAATTCCCCACCTGAGTCCCCAAGGGCCAGGGCAGCCTCAGGTGTCACCAGCTCAGCACCTGAACCCAGCTTGGCTAAAACTGAGTTAAACTGAGCACTGAGATACCTGATATTATTAATTAATATTATCAATTAAATTAGCAGCACACCAATGGAGTGGGGAAGAACAGAAGGTTGTCACAAATTCTCTGTGTGCTCTGTTTGTTGAATCAGGAGAGTTTTAAAGTCAGGAATTGAATTTTCTTTTTAACTGCTCTGGAATTCCTTTTTATTCCCCTCTAGCTCCTGTTTACTGGAGATGTGAGTGCAAAACAAAAAACTAAAAATTTTTAACTCTACAACAAAAAACCAAAAACCTGCATTAAGTGAGGTACCAGTGTTTTATCCCTAAAAAAATGTGAGCTATCCCTGGAGCCCTGGGAGCTGTCAATGAAGAAAAATTGTCAAGAAATTGTCAATAAAGAAGTTATTAATGAGTTAATAAATGAAGAATAAAGCCCCACCTGTGTGCCACACATACTGTACCCACACATAGGTGCTGGCAGCAAAGAACAGCCACTGGATTGGGATGAAGAGCAGACAGATGATGTTGGAGGTGAATGCTACACACACAAAAAATACTGAGAAGGCCTGGAAGAAAAGAGGGAGGGGATAAAAAACAGATTTTGGTTATTGCAAACCTTTATATTGATATTAAAATACATTTTATGGAAAATATCTAGTAGCTGTTGTTGTGTAGCACACCAATATTTCTAGTATTACGTGTTTAATTTTAATGTATTTTAATATGTTAAAATATATATTAAAAGATATTTTATATTAAAAAGACTCTAGAGATATAGAGATAGCATATGTATATATATACACATATATAAATATATATACACACATATATAAAAATATAAAAAATTCTATATATCAAGGTTTTCTTTAAAACAATACAGAAAGTCTTGCCTGGTTACATAAATATAAAGTTATATCTAATTCTGATTAATGAAAATAATACATTTATTTCAAATATCAAACAGCTATAATAATAATATTGCATGATTATTTAATTTTAATATATTTTAACATGTTAAAATATATTTTTATATATATAAACCCCTACATATACACAGCATGTGTGTATATATATACATAAAAATAAAAAAAATCTATATAAAAGGGTTTTCTTTAAAACTATACAAAAAGTCTTGCCTGTTTTTATATATAAGGTTATATATAATTCTAATTAATTCAAATAACACATTTATATCAAATATCTAGTAGCTATAATTTTATACCAATATTTCTACTTACCTGTTTATTCAATTTTACTTATTTTATAAATATATAATATATATAATCTTATATACAACACCCTATATATAGACAGACAGTATATGTGTATGTATATACATATATTAATATAAAAATACCTCTATATAACAGGGTTTTCTTTCAAATAATACAGAAATTCTTTTTAATAATAATATAATGGTAATAATAGTAATAATATAATAAAAAAATAATTTTTAATAATACAGTCTTTAAACAATACAGAAAGCCTGTTTCCATTTATATAAGGTTTGATAGAATTCTGATTAATTCCAAGCCAGCTCAGGAATTTAAAGAATATTTTTCTGTGGTTTGGATCAATTTCTATTTCATTTCATTTATTTCATTTCCAATTCCCATGGATAAAACATCCATGAGAGAGCAGAGAGGAATCAGGAATTGTGGAATTGTGGAATATTTCCAGAACATTCCAGGACTCTGGAGCAGGATTCCCTGGATCTCCGTGCCCTGGGGCGAGTCAGGAATTGTGGAATTCTGAAATTATGGAATATTTCCAGAACATTCCAAGATCCTGGGGCAGAGTGGGGTCAGGAATTGTGGAATATTTCCAGAACATTCCAAGATCCTGGAGCAGGATCCCTGTGCTCCAGAGGGGTTCAGGGATTGCAGAATTGTGGAATATTTCCAGAATATTCCAGGACTCTGGAGCAGGATGGGCTCAGGAATTGTGGGACATTTCCAGAATATTCCAGGATGCAGGAGCAGAGTAGGGTCAGGAATTGTGGAATATTTCCAGAACATTCCAAGATCCTGGAGCAGGATCCCCTGTGCCCCAGGAGGGTCAGGAACTGTGGAATTGTGGAACTGTGGGATTGCGGAATTATGGGATTATGGGATTGTGTGAGTGTGGGATTGTGTGAGTGTGGGATTGTGTGAGTGTGGGATTGTGGTGTTGTGTGAGTGTGTAACTGTGGAATTGTGGGATTATGGGATTGTGTGAGTGTGGATCTGTGGGACTGTGGGATTATGGGATTGTGTGAGGGTGGAATTATAGGATGATGGGATTGTGTGAGTGTGGGATTGTGTGAGTGTGGGATTATGGGATGATGGGATTGTGTGAGTGTGGAATTATGGGATGATGGGATTGTGTGAGTGTGGGATGATGGGATGATGGGATTGTGTGAGTGTGGAATTATGGGATGATGGGATTGTGTGAGTGTGGGATTATGGGATTGTGGTGTTGTGTGACTGTGGGATGATGGGATGATGGGATGATGGGATTGTGTGAGTGTGGGATGATGGGATGATGGGATGATGGGATTGTGTGAGTGTGGGATGATGGGATTGTGTGAGTGTGGGATGATGGGATGATGGGATTATGGGATGATAGGATGATGGGATTGTGTGAGTGTGCCATGCCCTGAGCACTGCACACTCACCAGGCCCTGGTAGCGGAAGGAGTCGTAGACGCTCCTGATGAAAAGCCAGAACGGCCACAGGTACTCAAACCTGAACTCCAGCACAAAATCTGCCAGCAGCACCAGGGCCCACACCACCAGGAACTTCAGGTACAGGAACGTGCTGGGGACACACAAAAAGCAAATTTCAGGTCAGCATTTCCAACACATTCACTGATTTTTTTTTTTTTTTTTTTTAATTAAAATATTCAGAATTAAAACTAAGGACGACTGTAACACAACACCAAGAATCTGAGATGCATTTGAAGCCTAGAGCAAGGTAAAGATTATTTTGGTTCTGAGTTATCAGTGAGGGATATTAAAACATTTCTGTGAAGGCAAAGGGGATCCCTTAAATACAAACAAACAAACAAACAAACCCAAAAATCAGAATTAAACGAGGCTTGGGAGCAGCATAACTTGGAGATTTTCCTGATTTCATTGCCATCCTCTGAGCCCTGCATGGAACCAGAGCTCCAAAATATTTTGACTTCATCCCCAAATGACACTTGGGGCATCAGCCCAACCCATTGTCCCAAAAAAAGAAACAAAATCCCTTTTTCCCATCCAAAATCCACCACCCCAAATCTGGCACTGCAGCTGCCCAATACCTTGCTGCACTCTATTGGGTTATAACAAAAAATAAAATAAAATAAAATTTTAAAATAAATAAATAAATAAAACCCCCAAACCAACCAAACAAAAACCAAACCAAACAAACAAACAAAAAACAACAAAAAAAGGGGGTTAAAAGATATTTTTCTCTTTTAAATCAAATCCCAAATTTCCCTTTTGGTGCCTTGTTTTCCCTCCTCTCCCACCCCTGCCAGCAGAACTTTGCCCTGCAATGTTTGCTGGGAGGTGCCAAGCACCCAGGGCCAGGCAGGGCAGAATTTCTGTTTTAGGAACTGGTGAAGAAAGAGACAAAACACAAAAAATTCCCAAGAAATTCTGGTCTGAAAACAAATGAACCTGTGAGATTCTCAGCCACTTGTCAGCCAAGGTCAGGTGCAAATCACAGGGCTGGGAAAATATTTGGATTTGTTGGGATCAGAGGTGCCTGAGAGTGCCCTTATCAACAGAGTGGGGTGGGAAAAAAAGAAAGGAAAAGGCTCCAGGAAGAACAAATTCCACATTTAATGGAATGAAATCAAATTCCTGGCAAACTCTTGGAAAAGTGAAGGAAGTGAAGCTTTCAGTTCTGCTGGACCCACCCCAGGCACTAATTACTGCTTGGAGGAATGAAACTACAATGGGAGTATT